CCCCCACTGCTCTCTGCGGACACAGGCGGAGGAGAGCAGTGGGGATCTGGGGGACGCAGACCGAAGCTTGCAGTCGGCACCCAGGGGAGGAGAGAAGCTGTGAATGCACCGCATTTTCGCCTGGATTTTTGGTACTATCTGCATTTTACTCATAGCATAATTTTCAGCCAAAATGTTTCGGCACCTGAAATTTCATTGCATCCCTACTACTGAGGAATCGGTCTACTGCTCTTGCTTCTAAATCCAAGGAGACCATCCTGGGTCTTATTAATGCAGTGCATACCACTCTGAAACGAGAGGGTTAGCACTTCTACCAGTTCTGTCTCTAGCCTTGGGTCCTTTAAAACTAAATCTGCAAAAGCTTTTTTGTCCTTTTAAGTGACCTTTTGGCATTGGGTTCCATGTAAGGCATTTTCCAGACTCCATTCTAGTAAAAATTAGTTGCAGTGCTTGTTCATGGTCCAGATCCACTGGCATCAGCGCTTGCTCTGACTCTGAAAACTCGCTTAGTGAGTGGGCTGGTCAGATCTGTGAATGCCATAAGGTATATAGATTCCACCCCCTTTGCGTTTATGATCATGCTCTTGGACCTGCTTTCCTACAAAATTTGAGGCATGCTGGTAGTAGGAGGGGTTACCCTGAGACAGCCTACAGTGTTGTGGTTTTTTTTTTTGCCAGTGTCCAATTCTGTAGATGGCAGTATACCCCAAAGGTAAAAGCAGACCTTTACACTCAAATCAAATTCTACTAATAAATCCCTCCATGTACGATGATTAATAATAACAGACATGTCCGGTGTAAAATGCTGTGATTTTGAAATGCTTACACTTGTAGAGCATTCACTTCCTGCTTTTAAAAGTGGAAATGACTTCAGTTTGCTAAAGCTTCAGTTTGCACACAAATTGCCTTTTCATTAGCAGAGCATTGCTGGGAAATCTCATCTGTAATCTCATGAGATCTCAGGGAAAGGCATTTTCCTCCCCTGAAATGATGTGCATGGTCACATGTCCTAGTCGAATGTGCCAGAAATCAAGGAAGTAATAAGAGAGCTAGTATCTGCCCTTAGTAAACAGAGTCGGATGGTGGCGGGGGGCCTGGCTGCAAAACTGTCTAGTGTCGCTACAGGCACGCTGTACATTGGCAGTGTCCTGTAATTTGAAACTGGAAATAACGGGAACCGGCAGGATCAATAGATACTTTAGGAGCAACATACGAAAAAAAAAAATGTAAAAGCCTACCCTTACTAAGAAGTATATCTGTACATGCATTCTTATTTTTTGGGGTAACATATACTTTAAACAGGCAGTTTTTTTGCGCTTTAAAAAAATAAAATATATATTTTTAGTTAATAAAATAAGGTTTTTGTGATTTTTGTTTTCATACAGCATGTTTTCCAGCATTCTGGTAAATATTCTTGAGCTAAGCAACAACTTTCCTTTTATGTTGGGGATGCCTGTATTTAACTGTGCAACTCGTAGTTCAATCCTCACTTAAGAGAAAAAACTTGAATGTTCACAATTTCAGCCGGCTGGCTTAAATATGCAAATAGTTGTACATTTTCTTTTGTAGGGAGGAATGGATTATCACCTGATGACCTGTTGTGGTAGCCCAGCATATGCAGCCCCTGAATTGATACAAGGAAAAGCTTATATTGGCTCTGAGGTAAGATTCCTATGTTGATTTTTCCAATTGCATTTATTTCTCATGTTTTAAAAATTTAATGAAAACAGGACCTTTCCCAGTAGGTGGGAACCCTAATGTATGTATGTATGCATGCATGCATGCACACATGTATGATTCTCCCCAATGAGGACAAACTCAACAAGAACTGGTTCTAACAGTAATAAACCTTAACAAAACAGTTTGGGTAGACCTAACTTTGTAATGATTTTGTAGATGCTTTTTACTTCAGTGTGTTGCTTTTTTTTTTTTTTTTTTTTTTCCCCTTTTAAACCCCGTTTTGGTTCTTTATATGTGT